AATTTTATAATGATTGGCATTGGAGGTGCTCTAAGTCTTTATTATTATTGCTAAATAATTTAAATACTTCAGTTATAATTTATTTTTATTAAAAATAAAATATTTTGTATTTAAATCACATAGCATAAAAGTAAGATGAGTTAAAGAATGTGAGAAGATTATTTCTTATATTATTAAATAAGTAGATATATATATTCTTTTATTAGCAAAAACAAATGAGAAATTTATTATTATAGGAGTATAAGGAATACCCCTAAGCAAATTACATCACTAGGTCCAGAAACCAAATGTAGACAAGTTACAAACTCTTAGTGAAAACGAAAAATACTAAATAAACCTCTAAGAAAAAGAAAAACCAAAACAAATCAACTCCAAGCCCTATTCTGCAGCTTGTAGCTTTTCACATTTTTACAATGTTGTACAATGCTTTCTCCACATTCCACAGGTCTTGATATCTAATCTTGAATAGTGAACGCACAATCTATCACTTTATTCTTTAACCATACAAATGATTTTGTCTGAATTGACTCTAAAACAACACCTCATCCCCCCAATTTGTCTCAAACACCCTCCTATTTCGTCAATACCACAGAAATCAAGCAACTACTAAAAACATGAAAGCACCTAAATCCTTCCCACATCTCCCACCTATGCCTTGCATCATAGTTTCTGTCAATCCAAAGATGTCATTTAGCAATACACCTTGCCAACCCCACCATCTCAAAACCTGCATCCCCACTAACCATGCCCTTTTACATTCACAAAAAACATGATGAAGTTGCTCTACACCCTTGTTACAAAACCCACAACCAACATTCCTCTCCAACAAAACCCCTCTCCTATATAAATTCTCCTTTGTCACTAATTTATTCAAAAATATTCTCCATCCAAAAACACTCAATTTAGAAGGAACATACTTACACCAAATAAACCTAGACCACTTCTTATCAAGAATACATTCAGTAGGTGTTAAAAAAGCATAAGTAGCTTTCACAAAATATACACCATCGCCACTATGAACCCATCTCCAAAAATCAGCTTTTTCCTTCCTCACCTTTACTCCATCAATCAAGTCCCTAAACTGCTCCTCCTCACTAGTCACCCTTCCCACACAACTACGCCGCCATCTACAATCCCATACCCAATCATCCCTTCTCTAAAAACCCATATTTTCACCAGCCCCTCCCTATCCATTGCTAACGCAAGCAACCTAGGAAATAAATTTTTTAAAGATTTATCTCCCACTCACTTATCTCCCCAAAACTCCAAAT